TGGAGCAGTGGGCGGCCGTGGTGGAGAACCTGGAGGAATATGGTCCGGCTTACTTGTTAGATTTGTCTTTCAGGGTTACGGTGCCGAGCGCTATCATGGCGCGCGCTTGCGACTGGTTCGGTTCGGGGGTTGGCGCCAGGAATGCTTCTGGGCTCTGGACTCATTCGCGCTAGAAAACTTCCATACGTCGTATGTTAAGCGTGGGGGTTGGGCGCGCAGGATAGGGCTGGGTGCCGACGCCCAGAACCGCGACGCCATGGGCGTCGGAGGCGTTAGCGGGGCCAACGAGGAACAGGTTAACACTGCGGACTGGCGCGAAGGCTGGGGCTCCGAAGGGTGCGGCGACGAGGGCGGTTGTTGGTGGGCAAGTGCTGTTAACTGGGGTCAAAGGGGCGATCATGAGGGCGGTGAAGGCGTGGGTGCAGTTAACAAGGGCTAAGGAAGAGGAGGGAAGGAAACCAAGTGTTACAAGTGTTGTTTTTTTTGGGCACATAGCTGCGGTTTGCCCGAGTGGTAAAGGCGGGTGCAACAGGGGGGAGATGACGCGCGCGCAATGCGTCGAAGAGAAGCCAAGGAAAAGGGGATGGCTACGGCCAGGTGGATGGAGTAGAGGGGGATGTGTCCCAATTGGCGATCGGGAGTGTTGCGAACGCGGGCGACAAGGGGCGCATTCCGGTCTTGTGCGCATGGGGGGGGGGGGGGGGGGACGAGGTGGGGCAGCGCAAGGAGTCGCGACCGTGGTTGGGCAGCCGCGGAGGGGCGACCAGGGCGCAGAGCATCTCATTGGGACAGCCAATGCTTGGATGTTACTGGGTGGAGGGCGCCGCGCAACCCGCCAGGGTTGGGCGGGCGGGCCCGGCAGTATCGCGCGAGATAAATCGACGGGGCGATGAAGTCGGCATTCGTGCGAGATTAGGGAAAGAGCGCGCTGAAGTCCAAGTCGTGGAATCTCCTGGCGCCAGTCGCAAGGTTGACGCTGTCCCCTCGAGCAGTGCTCCAGGGCCGGAAGGGGCAGCGGTCGCTGCTCTGGACTCGAGCGCGTGCAACGCAGTGGGGCACCGGGGCGGAAGTCGTTTCCCAGTGGCCCCCGCGGAAGCGACGCAAGCGGTCGAGCATTATGGCGCTGTCAACGGGTTAGTTATCAAGGTCAGCGGGCATGCGATTCTATCAGCGAAAGGGCGGGGGGCGCGAGGGCGCGTCAATGCGAGCGGCATGCGCAGAACGAGCGTTGGGCCCTGCCCAGGAAATTGCCCATGCAGGAAATCGAGTCGCGCTCGATCGTGGCGCGAAAGGCCGTCCCTGCAGGGGCGCGAGGCGACCGAGCGGCGAGGGGTATATCATGAGCGAGGCGGCGCGTTCCAGGCAGAGGTCGGAGTGTCGGCAGGATCGCGGAGCCAGGGCGCTGGAGGGGCGGCGGGGGGAGTCGCGTGTAAAGAGGGTTTTCCGATGCGAGGGCCCCTAGCGGGGGGCGCGTTCCGCTGGGTCCGCCGGGGCCCGTGAGTCCCGCGCAAACAGTTGTTATTGCGGGATTAAACCAGCGGGCGCCCCCTGGGCCTCGCCAGGGCCCCGATGGAGCCTCCATTTCTCCCGGGCCTGGTTGCCGTGGCGGCGTCGGAGACCTGCGGGCCTAACCTGGTTGCGATGGCGGAGTCAGAAACCAGCGGGCCCCCCCCTGAGGCTCGCCAGGGCTCGGAGGGAACATCCATTTCCCCTTTCTTGCCGCGTTCCGTGGCGCCCCTGGACCTGGCAGCGATGGCGGTGTCCAGAGACCGCTGGGCCGAACCTGGGCCCGTTGGCTTCAGGTGTGACGAGTCGGAGGCTAGTGTCTGTTCGCCTGGTAGCGTGCTCAGGGGCGCGGGGGGCCCTGGCGGTGTCAGAAACCAGCGGGCCGAACTTGGTGGAGATGGCGAAATCAGATATCAGCGGGCCTCCTCTGTGCTTTGCCACGGCTCAGAGGGAATTCCCATTTCTCCCGTGTTTGCCGCTTTCAGCGACGCTGCTGGACAGAGCAGCGACGGCGGTGTCAGAGACCGCCCGGGCCCTTACAGGCCCCCGAGCTCGCGCCTACTGCAGGCGATGCTGCCGCTGCTCGGGGCGCGCCCAGTCAGAGTCTCGTCGCCGCGCTGAGGGCCCGCTGCGAAAAGGCAGCCCCCCAGAGGCGCGCGGGCCAGCGCGTTTGGCAGCGGCATTCCTGGACCGCGAAGAGGTGTTCTGTCTGGCAGGCCAGAACCGCCTGTCCGAGGCTGCGATGACACGCTGGCGCCAGAAAGGGGCTGGGGACTCTTCGCCGCCGTCTGGCGCCCCCAGTTTCGGGCCCCCTGGCCCCTGGGATCGAGCGCGGTCCGCGGACGGCCAGTCGACAGAAACCAGAGTGCCCGAGGTGACGCCGTACCTGCGCAGCCCTCTGGGCTCGAGGTGCCCTCCCAGTGTGCCTCGATGTCAGAGGGTCCTTTCCCCCCATTGTCGCGACGATCGTTCCAGGTGCTGCTGCTCGTCCTGGAAGGCATCCGCATGGGCTGGGGCCAGTTCTGGCGCAACCAGCAGGCCGAGAACATTCGCGGGCAGGGGGCGCGTGGGCGCGAGGCCGCCGAGCAAGGCAAAGGGCGCGACGAAGGCGGCTCGCCTGGCAAGCGCCGCTTTGACGCGGCCTGGGACGACGCCCCCGGCGCCCACCTTCGGCGCTAAACACTTGCTGCCGCCGCCGCCGCCCGGCTGCACCTGGCGCCTCTACGGGGCGTGCTGCCCGCGGGCGCCGCGCCGCTCCGCGCGTGGCCCTCCTCCCTCCTCTCCTCTCCTCTCCTCCTTGCGACGCCCCTCCCGGGTGGGAGGCGCGTCGCGCCCGCGCTGCCCCTTGCGCCACTTCGGTACCTCCCTGCTTGCCCAGCTTCTGCGCCTCCTGGTGCTCCCCGCCGCCGCCCCCGCGCGACGTGCCTCTACGTGTGGGGCGCGCGTCGCCCACTCCTTGCCCCCTGCGCCATGGCGGTGCTCCTCTGCCACACCGCGCTGTTCCGCACCCTGGGCCGCCCAGCGTCGTTGCCGGGCTTCTGCGCTTCCCGGTGCCCCCCCTCCCCCTCCTCCTCCTCCTCCTCCTCCTCCTCCTCCTCCTCCTCCTCCCTCCTCCTCCTCCTCCTCCCTCCCTCCTCCCTCCTCCTCCTCCTCCTCCTCCTCCTCCTCCTCCTCCTCCTCCCCCCCCCCCTAGGCGCGTCGCCCGTTCGCCGCCGCCCGCGCCCCCTTCGGTGCTTCCTCCGGCGCGCCGCTCGGGCCTTACGCGTGCGCCAAGCCCTGCTCGTGCTACTACCGCGGCCTCCGCGCCACGTCGGTGCTGGCCCTGCTCTGCTCTCCCTGTTGCGGTGCTGCTCCCCGCCGCCGCTCCTGCGGGCCACCGGGGCGCTGTGCCCGCCGCCGGCCGGCCCCTGTCCTCCCCCTCTGCCCAGTCACTCCTTGGCTGCCCTTGGCGGCCGCTGTCCTCTCTGCTGGGTCCAGTCGCGTCGCCGCGTCCGGGTGCCCCTCGTCCCTTCCGCGTCGCTGGTCCGCCCCGCAGCCCGCGGGCGCCTGGGGCGCGCTGTCGCCTCCTGCCCGTCCCCGCCCTCTGGCCACCTGGCCTCGGGCGGTCACGCTGCAGTGTTCCTTTCGCTGCCTGCTTTTCGGTGCTCCCGCCCCCGTGCGGCTCAGTGCTGTGCGTTCTCTTCGGGGCGCCGCGGTGCGACGCTCGCGGTGTCTCCTGCGCTCCCCCAGCCCCTTGCGGCTGCCACTCCGCGCCATCCTTGCTCCCGTGGTTCGCCTCGGCCGCCCGCCGCGCTCTGGCCCTGCGCGCCTTGCACGCCGGCCGATTCGCTAGCTCGTGCCCCTGCCTAGCGGTGACGCCGGCGCGGATTTCGTCGCCTCGCCACCGACGAAAAAGTCAGGAAGCCCCCGCCCGAACTATACTTAGTTTCTGTCTGTGCTTGCAGTGCGTGTCCTTGATTCCACATCTGACTTACCGCGCTGGCTTGGAGACTTGGCCACCAGTTACTTACAACGGTGCAAGGTTGTCATTATTCGAGTCTTTTTGTTGTTTGCTTCTCCCTTGTCTCTCTATCCGGCTAGTTGGCCGAGGTGTGTGGGGGGTTCAAACCATGGTCTTGCGACTGGGTGAGAAGGGTGTGCTTGCGTTGCGGTCAGACGGATGTCATTGCCGACGTCAGTTGGTTCAAGTTTCGTTCGTTCATTGCCGGGTAACAAATATCATCAATCCGATATCGTGCATATCCTCCTTGGGGTTTGGCAGCAGGAGGGGTGTCAGGACCAGTGCAAATCCAAGATTCCCCAACGATGCTGCGGGAAACCCCTTATTCCAAGTTCTCTGTTCAGAGGCCCCTTTGCAAGGATTCATTTCCACTGAGGGAAGTGCTTTGTTGGAAGACAACCGTTGGGAAATCCAGAATTGTACCAGAACGCCACTGTCGGGGGTTCAGCGCCCCGAATCACCGTTATTGCTGCGTCAGGACGATCCTGAATCGTGCCAGAACATATCTGGCATTTGACACCACGAATTAACGCAACCATTGCGCCTTGACAGACCGGCATCGTATCAAAACATTGTTTTTGGATTGTTACCCATCATAATCTTCGAAACTTTCATAATGCTTTGACGCGAATGCGCACATCGCTAAGGCGAAAACCATTTGAAAAAACCAGAGCCGCCCCCCATCCGTAAAGCTCATGCTGTTTTTGAAAACGAATGTGCGCGGCGCTGCGGGGAAAACCGCATTTTGGAAAAGAGCCGCCCTCCATCGGTGAAGGTGTTGCCGATTCTGAGACGGTTGTGCGCGGCGCTGAGGCGAAGGCGTCGCTTGGCCAAGAGAAGAAACGGCGACGCGAGCCGTCGTCGTCGTCGTCGTCGTCGTCGTCGTCGTCGTCGTCGTCGTCGTCGTCGTCGTCGTCGCTTGGCCGAGCGGTGGGAGCCCGGCGCTGCGCCGGCCAACCGCGCTGGCGCAGCGCCTCCGCGCCGCCCGGGGCAGGCCCTGGGCATCCCCCCCGAGCAGCCCCTGCCGGGCGACGAGGAGCGGCGCGCTCCAGCCTGCTGTGCGCGGCCCCTGCGCATGCCGTGGGTCTTTTGTCCATCCCCCCTCCTCCTCCTCCTCTTCCTCCTCCTCCTCCTCCTCCTCCTCCTCCTCCATCCCACCACCTCCCTCCTCCTCCTCTTCTTCCTCCCCCTCCTCTTCTTCCTCCTCCTCCTCCTCCGCCTCCTCCATCCCACCACATCCTTTCAGAGATCTCCCATATGATTCTCGGTTTAGCTTTTTGAGCTTGCCCGCGAGGGCCGTAGACAGCCTGAGATTCATTGACTTTAAATCGTTGTTCGTGAGTCGGGAAGTTTCTGCTCGATTTGGGGCTGTCCCCGATGCTGTTTTCCACCCTCTCTGCCTCAGACCCTACGGCCGTGCCCAGTCTTCAAAGCACGGGCTTTAAGCCGAGGCAGGGGGTGGGAGGGAGCACAAGTGCACCGAGTGCCACGCGTGATGAGTGTATTCACATCACAGCGCCCTCTAGAAGCGAGCCAGCCCTGGAAGTCTTCTGTAGTTGATTTCAAATGCCCCGAGAAGTCGCAGGATCAGCTGACACGCCTCTGCACAGTCGTTCGTTCGTTCGTTCTTTTCCTCCTCCCCCTCCTCGTCCTCCCCTTCCTCCACCTCCTCCTCCTCCTCCATGTCTTTCTCTTTTTTTCATCCTCCTCCATCCCTCCTCCTTCCTTCCTTCCCGACCATCCAGCTTTCGCGCCGAAGACCGCTGGAACCACCAAAGATCGCCGGAAACCGCCGAAGACCGCCGAAAACCACTCGAAGACGGCCGAAGACCGCCGAAGACGGCCCAGGAGCGATGGGTAACAAGGTGTCTATGGTCGAACACGTAGCGTCCCTCCTGCTCTTCCTCCTCCTCCTTTCTTCCTCCTTTTCTTCTTCCTCGTTCCACTTTAGGATCCACCCCGCCTCTTCTCAGTCATCCTCTTTTCCTCTGGTGTTTCTTTCTTCAGGGATCCCTTCCTGGTTGCAGTGTTCGCCTTCGAACTCTCGCTTCTTGTGCTCCTCCTACTCCGTGTTCGCCCATTTCGCCTTGCTGCTCGTTCTCCCTTCCTCCTACTCCTCCAACTCTTCCTCCTCCTCCTCCTCCTTCTCCTCCTCCTCCCCTTCCTCCTGGGCTGGGATCGTGTTAAGGGCAACGCTAGGGGGGCGGGGATGGGCTCAGGGGGAGAGGTTCATTGTTCGAGGTTTTCGGTCCCGAAGTTCGAGGCTTAGGGGGCGTTTTTCGTGGGTTTTCGGAGGTTTTCCAGCCTCGGGGTGCGTTCTAGCAGCTGCGTCTTGCCGAGAGCGTCGTCCCGAACGGCCGCTGGAGAGCCCAGTTATGAAGTCAACGTTTATGGGGGGATATGCTCAGGGGGGAATGCATCGACCCCTGATCGCCCACTGATCGCCAATAAGGGCCTGACATGGCATGCCCCGCCCAGGAACATGCGGTTTCGCCATCGGAAAGAGCGTGTTCTACCGCTGCTGGCGGAAAACCGGGGGGGGTCACTACCGGTTCGAACCCCTCCCCCCCCCCCCCCCCCCCCTCTGGAAAACCGGGGGGGTCACTACCGGTTCGAACCCCCCCCCCCCCACCCCCCCCCCCCGCTCATCATGAAAAGGGGGGGGGGTCACTACCGGTTCGAACCCCTCCCCCCCCCCCTCGAAAACCGAGTGGGGGTGCGGACAGTGGTGGGGACGGTGTTGGTGGGGACAGTGGTGAGGGGATAGCGGGACAGTGGTGGGGACAGTGGGACAGTGGGACAGTGGTGGGGACGGTAGTGGCGGGGACAGTGGTGGGGACAATGGCGGGAACAGGGGGGACAGTGGACAGTGGTGGTGACGGTGGTGGTGGGGACAGTGGTGTGGGGACAATGGGAATGAGGTGGAAACAGTGGGACAGTGGAGGGTACAATGGTGGTGGGGACAGTGGTGAAGGCGGTGGCGAGGACGGCGGTGGGACAATGGGACAGAGGTACAGTGGGGACAGTGGTGGGGACAGTGGGGACAGTGGTGGGAACAGTGGGACAGCTCAGTGGGACAGCGGAGGAGTCAGTGGGACAGTGGGGACAGTGAGGATAGTCGGGCAGTGGTTGGGGCCGTGGAGACAGTGGGGAGAGTGGAACCGTGGTGGGAACAGTTCTGGGGACAGCGGGGACAGTGCGACAGTGGTGGGGCACTGGTGGGGACAGTAGGGGCGGTGGTGGAACCAGTGGGGACAGCGGTGGTGAGGACAGTGGTGCTGGGAACACCAGTGGGGGATGTGATGCGGACGGTGGTGGGACCGGGAGTCGTTTGCTGGCGGTGAGTAGGGGGCGGGGGGGGGGGGGGTTCTGAACCGGTAGTGACCCCCGGTTTTCGAGGGGGGGGGGGGTTCGAACCCGTAGTGACCCCCCCGGTTTTCGGATATCGGGGGGGGGGGGGGAGGGGTTCGAACGGTAGTGACCCCCCCGGTTTTCGAGCGGGAGGGGGGCGGGGGGGGGGGGAGGGTTAGGGGAGGGGGGGGGTTTTGCCGGGGGGGGGGGGGGGGGTGGGGGGGGGAGGGGTTCCAGCGGGGGGGGGATTTCGGGGGGGGGGGGGCGGGGGGGCGACCCCCGGGTTCCGGAGGAAAAGGTTGGCAATTTTCCACAGTAAAGCGGCGGTGGATCACGCTCTCTCCGCCATCGGGAGCCTAACGCCGATCTATCGTTGATGTGTCGCCGATTCCAGGTCGATTCTTCCCCCCCTGGCTCTTCGACCCAGGCATGCTCGCGTCGTAAACAACATCGCGCAAGTTTTTTGGCTACCTTCGGCTTGCCAGAAGTTCCAGTGCTCCTTCACCGTATCCTGAACCAATCGTATCATGACGTTGTTTTCGTCTTGTGGGGGAGACCGTCAGTCCTGCCGCCAGGGTGGCTGCGTCGGGGTTCGAATATGGAGGATCGAGGGTTGTTTTTTGTCTTGGGCCTGTCTGAGGAGGAAGAGGATGACGAGGAAGAGGATCACCCTTTTTGGGCCTTGAGAGGCTCCTCTTCGGCACGGCTGGGGGCGCCTGCGAATTCTTGACGAGTCGCGTATCCCTGTCGGTCCTGTCTCCGCCGACCCCGCGTACGGCTGTGGTACGGGCTTCGCGCTGAGTGGTTCAGCCTTCAGCGTTGTAGTTTCGGTTCTTGGGGGACTTTCTCCGTTGCACTCGCACTGCTGTCTGCTTCACCTCGGTGTGGCCGGCGCCTATGTGCCTTTGCCTTAATGCGAAGCACTTTGCTCAGTGCATGTGCACTCCACGCCTCGCGTGTAATTCGCCTAGTTCGCGTCCCGTACTTTGCTTTCCGTTCCCTGTCCGTTGCCTCGGAGCCGCCGACCAAAAAAATACCCCTGTCGGCCATCGAGAAACGATGTCCTGGCGAGAGGCCCCAGCAGGGAAGAGCAGCAGCATGCAGTGGAGTAAGGCTGGGGGAAGCGGAGGAGGAGAAGGAGGAAGGAGAAGGAGGAGGAATGGGGGAGAACCAGAAGGCGGAAGAGGAGGAATGAGGAAGGAGGAGCCGTTCTTTTTCCAGGGAGGCGAAGGGGAATTATTGCAGAGGACTCAGGAGTATGATGATGTTGTTGATGACGATGAGGATGATGCTGATGCTGCTTGTGCTCCTGCTGCTGCTAATAGTGATGATGGGGTGATGGCGATGCCATTGACGATGCCGATGACAGTGTCGACGACGATGACGATGATGATAATTCTTATGATGATGTTGCTGATGATGAAGCTGCTGATGCTGACGATGATGATGCTGATGCTGATGTTGATGCTGGTGATGCTGCTGATGCTGATGATGCTGCTGATGATGAATGTGACGATTACGACGGTTATGCTGCTGCTGATGATGACGATTATGCCGACTATGGTGATGCTGCTGCTGATGACGACGACGACTATGATGCTGCTGACGATGCTGATGCTGATGACGATTCTGATGACGACGATGCTGCGGATGATGATGATGATGATGATGATGATGATGATGATGATGATGATGATGATGATGATGATGATGATGACGATGATGCAGATGATAATAATGATGATGACGACGACGACGATGATGATGATGATGATGATGATGTGCTAATGCTGATGCTGATACTGATTATGATGATGGTGATGATGCTGATGATGCTGCTGATGCTGATGATGCTGCTGATCCTGCTGATGATTGCTGCTGCTGATGCTGATCATGATGCTGATGCTGATGATGATGTTGATGCTGCTGCTGATGATGATGATGATGATGATGATGATGACGACGACGACGATGATGATGATGATGATGTGCTAATGCTGATGCTGATACTGATTATGATGAAGGAGGAATAGGGGGAGGGGGATGATGAAGTTGGATGATGATGACGATTATGATGATCATGCTGCTGATGATGATGATGATGATGATGGTGATGATGATGACGATAGTGAGGATGATGAGGATGATGAGGTCGATGGAGATGATGATGATGATGATGATGATGATGATGATGATGATGATGATGATGATGATGATGATGATGGTGATAATGATAATGATGATAATGATGATGTTGATGGTGGTGGTGGTGGTGGTGGTGGTGATGAGGAAAGAGGACGAGGACGGCGGAGCAAGGAGGAGAAGCGGAATGAGGTTACGCGGAAGGAGGAAGTAAAGGATGAGGAGAAGGATGGGAAGGGAGGACGCAGCAGCCGTTATCTTTCGAATGGGCAGAAGGTGGAACGATGAGGAAACGGAGGAGGCTGAGGAGGAGGAGAAGGAGGAGGAGGAGGAGAATGACAAGCATAAGGAAGAGGAAATTGGCGGCACATCTTCCGACCTTCCCACTCAGCTTCAGGCCACATCTAGATGGGAGGAGGAGGAGGAGGAGGAGGAGGAGGAGCAGCAGGAGGAGGAGGAGGAGGAGGAGGGCAGGAGCCAGACACCCGGAACGGGGGGATGATGACGCGGAACGGGGGGACGCGGAACAGCAGGATAACGAGGAATAGGGGGAGGGGGATGATGAAGTTGGATGATGATGACGATTCTGATGATCATGCTGCTGATGATGATGATGATGATGGTGATGATGATGACGATAGTAAGGATGATGAGGATGATGAGGTCGATGGAGATGATGATGATGATGATGATGATGATGATGATGATGATGATGATGATGATGATGATGATGATGATGACGATTATGATGATGATGATGATGATGATGGTGGTGGTGGTGATGATGATGGCTGCTGCTGATGATGATGATGATGATGATGTTAATGCTCATCAGGATGATGACGATGATGATGATGTTGATTCTGGTGATGATGGTGATGAATGATGATGATGGGCATGATGATAATGATGATGCTGAAGATGATGATGATGATGATGATGATGATGATGATGATGATGATGATGATGATGATGATGATGATGATGATGATGCTGATGATGCTGATGATGCTGATGATGATGATGATGATGCTGATGATGATGATGATGATGATGAAGATGAGGATGATGTTGATGATGAGGAGGATGAGGGTGAGGATGATAATGAGGAGAAGGGGGAGGAATATGAGGATGCCAGCGGATTACGTACCCCTTGAGGGTGGCTGGTCCTTGTGTGGACAATGGTATGACAAGTCCATTGTGTGTGGAGAAAAGTTGTAATCCATAGCCGTTCCCATCTAAGATTTACGTATACAGGACACTCGGCATTGCCGCTGATCTACAAGGTGCGCGGAGCACACGAGGTGCGCCGCGCTTGCGCTAGGGCACCCCCATCTCGTCAGAAAACATTCAGATGAACTTTGGGCGCCCACGCATGGTTTAAGATTTTGCTGCACCATGCGCCTTGCATTAGTATTTGAAAGAGGTGGTGGGCCTGCGCACAGCGGCCAACATGATGCCCCCCTCGTCCTCGCCAAGTGATCGCGCGTCACCCGATCGTTAACCAGATTTTCTCCGAAGTGCATTTTACATATGATGCGGTTTTTTTTGACATGGAGTATTTGGGGGTGTCGGCGTTGTCCCTGGTTTGTGGCCAGTTGGGTGGGGGTGTTTTTTGAAAAGAGTAAAGAGAATCCCCTGCCCGAAGGGGGAGAAGGGCATTTCGAAGAGGTGGCCCGTCGGACTGCCTGCGCCCACAGGGCTGGTGGGACTATGACCAGAACTGACACCCCTGAGCAAGGCCTGGGCTGGACTTTGAGCTGCCCAGGCATTAGGACTCGGACACTTCGAAAGCGATGTTTTTCACATTCTCCCGGCCTTAGTGGGCCCCAGAAACGGCGTTTCCAAAAAATGTCCCTTGAAAATGGAAACGGCAAAAAAACGGCGACCGGAAACGGCAAACAAACGGCTCCAGGATTGGAACTGGAGCCGGAACCAGTCAAAAAACGGCGACGGAACCGGTAAAACAACGGCGTCGGAACCGGCAAAAAACGGCAGAACGGAGCCGGTATAAAAACGGCCTTGTCGTTTCCAGGGCCCGCCAAGCTCCCAGTCCCAAGGGCCGGTGCCGGGTCCTGGCCTCGGGACGAGGAGCGGGCCATCGGAGCAGGAGTCGAGAGGCCCGTGCCCAGATCGGACCAGAACTGACACCCCTGCGCAAGGCCTGGGCTGGACTTTGAGCTGCCCAGGCATTGGGGCTCGGACACATCGAGAGCGATGCTTGTCACATTCTCCCAGCTCCAGGGGCCAGCGCCGGGCCCTGGCTTCGGGACGAGGCGCCGGCTAGCGGAGCAGGAGTCGAGAGGCCCGTGCCCAGATCGGTGCCGTCGGATGTCCGGGTGTCTGGCTCCTGCCCTCCTCCTCCTCCTCCTCCTCCTCCCTCCTCCTCCTCCTCCTCCTCCCTCCTCCTCCTCCTCCTCCTCCTCCTCCTCCTCCTTCTCCTCCTCCTCCTCCCCCTCGCCCCCGCCCCCCCCCCGCCCCCTCCGCGCCTTCCGCACCTGCGCCACCGCGATCGCTTTCTTTGCATCCGATGGGCGCCTCCCTCGACAGCCGCACGCTCCGCTTCGCCGTGCGCAGTCGAAGCATGCTGGCCAGACGGGGCCAGATTACGGTGGCTTCCTGCTCTTCTGTCGGCGGCGCGCGCGGGGGGGAAGTGAGACGGGGCGGGCCTTCTTAGCAGAAGGCTCGGAGGTCCCTGGGCCTTCTGAGAAGCTTCTTGGGCCTTCCCTGAAGACCCACAAAACTTCTTGCAAGGCCTTCTCCTGGTCACTTCCCCCCTCGCTCGCCGCCGAGCTAGTCCCTGTCGAAGGCCATGCTGCCGCAGTACCTGCTGACCACCCCACGGTGGCCCACCATTCCCCTCCACCCCTTCCGCCTCGCCTTCCCTTCTACCCCCTTCTCCTTCCGTGTCCCCTCGTTTGGGCCCTTCTCGCGCGACGAAATGTATACATATCACTGCTCCCTGGCCAGGCCCATCCTGAACCAAGGAGCTGTGTATACGCCCTCCTGGCCAAACCAGGAGGGCGTGGCGTATTCACCGCTGCTGGATTCAGGCTGAGCCTGGCCATGGGGCAGTGTATATGTATAGATTTCGTCGCCCTACCTCCTCGCGCCTCTCCCATGCCCCTCCACCTTCCTCCAGCCCCTTTCCACCCTCGTCACCCTGCTTCATCAATGGTAACCACAGCTGCCGCCATCAGCCTCCTGGTCAATCAATCACTTCCCCCTGCCATTTTGTGACCCTTTGTGAGAGCCTCAGAGGGTACCAAAAAAGGTTATGGTTCTCTGGATTTCGTCCGGATGTCGGCGGATTTGGGCGATACCTGGACGACATTTGGACGAGATTTGGACGACATTTGGACGAAAGGGTGAATAATGGTGGTCAAAGCCTGGACGTAATCCGGTCGAAATCACGTTAATGATAGAGCCACGGAGGTCCACAGAAGAAGCTCCAATGAAGGCTCACCCAGCTGCCCCATGTGATGGGACGGATTCAGCCGTGCAGGACGCCTCGTTCTCTATCTCTGGTCTGAATGCAGCGCCCTGCGCCGAAGGACCCGAACTCACTGCGAGCTGGCGAGACGCTCAACGAACACGGGCATCCCGTCGTCAAGGAGCCGCTGGGGGGGGCCGGAGGAGGAGGAGGAGGAGGAGGAGGAGGAGGAGGAGGAGGAACCCTTCCTTCCTCCCTTTCTCCCTTCCTTTCTGCCTTTAGGCTCCGAGCGTCTCGTCAACGACTGGATCGACCAACATCTTACTACGGCGGCTCTCTCGCGTCGGGTCCAGAGGGGCTGATGGAGAGCGCTGATCTCACCCTCTAATTCTCTTGCATGCGCCTTTGCCCCACCCTGTTCCTCACCACCATCTATTACTTGGGCTTCGCCTTTATATGCCCTGGGATACCGACCGACCGATCGACCGACGACCGACCGACCGACCGACCGACCGACTGACCGACCGACCGACCGACCGACCGACGACGACGACGATGATGATGATTGTCGTGCTGATGATGATGATTGTGATGATGATGATGATGATGATGATGATGATGATCGTGATGATGCTGATGATGATGACAGCGATGATGCTGATGATGATGATGCTGATGCTCTTATGCTGATGATGATGCTGATGCCGATGATGATAAATACTGATGCTGCTGCTGCTGCTGCTGATGATGATGATGATGATGATGATGATGATGATGATGATTATGAACATGATTCTGCTTGTGATGATGCTGATGCTGATGCTGATAACAATGATGCTGATGATGATGATGCTGACCATGATGCTGATGATGGTGATGCTGATACTGATGATGATGCCGATGCTGCTGCGGCTACTGATGATGATGATGATGATGATGATGATGATGATGATGATGATTCTGATGCTGATGATTATGATACTGTTGCTGCTGCTGCCAATGCTGATGACGATGCTGATGCTGATGCTGATGCTGATGCTGCTGATGATGATGGTGATGCTGATGTTTCTGATGATGGTTATAAAGATGCTGACGATGATGACGATGATGATGATGCTGACGATGGTGCCGATGCTGCTGACGATGATGCCGATGCTGCTATTGATGATGATGGTGATGCTGATGATGATGATGCTGATTACTATTAAGATGATGATGCTGATGGTGATGATGATGCTGCTGTCGCTGATGCTGATGATGCTGATGCTGATGGTGATGATGCTGGTCGTGGTGATGATGATGGTGATGATGGTGATGCTGGTGATGGGGATGGTGATGATGACGATGATGATGCTGATGCTGCTGCTGCTGCTGCTGGTGAAGCGTTATAAGAGTAATGATACCATACTGATGCTGATGATGATGATACTGATGGTGGTGATGATGATGCTGATAATGATGATGATGTTGATGATGATGCTGCTGCTGGTGATGATGATGATGAGATGCTGATGCTGAGGATGATGATGCTGCTGCTGATACTGATGATGATGCCGATGATGATGCATACGACGATGATGATGACGATGCTGATGCCTAATGCTGATGCTGATGGTGATGATGATGCTGTTGCTGATGATGATAATGCTGCTGCTGATGCTGATGCTGATGATGATGCTGTCGATGCTGCTGGTGAATATGATGACGAAACTGATGATGCTGCCGATGCGGTTGACGACGATGATGATGATGATAATGCTGGTGATGATGATGCTGCTGATGATGATGACGATGACGATGACGATGCTGATTCTGATGCTGATGTTTTTGATGCTGCTGCTGATGATGATACTGCTGATGGTGATGATGCTGATGCTGATGCTGATGCTGATGCTGCTGATGATGATGACGATGATGATGCTGGTGATGCTGATTCTGAGGAGGAAAGGGAAGAGGAGGAGGAGCAAAGCAAAGCAAAGAACTCTCGGACCCAAAGTCTCTCCTTGCTACGAGACAATCAAAGATTTGGATCCGAGTGGCTAATGAAAGCGACTTCCAACTGAGTGGGGGCCCTGTCGGCGGGGTGACGCTCAAGCCTGGAGACGACCCCGATGGAGGCACACTCCAGTGGGTGTCTCATGGCACCACCCCTCTTCAAAGCCCTCACAGTCACACAACTACACAGATCGCCCATGACCTGCGCCCCTCTCCCGACGTGCCGTGGGCTTCGCACGCGCACAGGGAACAAAGATTCGACCCTCGTCAAGTGCACCCCCCCTCATTTCAAAAAAAAGTACTCCCGTCGGAGGGGGCCGAAAGCGAAACCGCGGAGGCCCCAGGCATCACCCCCGAGGAGGAGGAGGGAGGTGGAAGTGCACCCCGACGTGCGAGCTCTAGATACCGAGCACCTCCACGGAAAGCGGGTGGAAGGGGAACAGGAGGACGATTCCGAGAACGAAAAGGAGGGAGGCGAGGGGGCCCGGCCGATCGATCGACGGCCGAGCTCAAATACGGGATCGTCGGAAGGGCCCCTAAGCGAGAAAAGGCTGGGTCTCACGGAACTCTAATCTCGCACAGGGCATCGGGGAAGGAGTCGGAGAGTCAGCGGCACTTTCTTCAACCGGCCTCTCGGCGGCACCAAGGAACCGTAGGTCAAGAGCCCGTCGTCGATCATCATCCGAAGAAGCACCACTACTGTACTGCAAATTATATTCACTACCTGGAACACCCAAAGACTGCATCTCCACAACACAAGTGCGAACATTATTTCCAGTCTGTTCGGCAGCTTGGTTCCCACTGGAGACTGGGGCCTTGGGAATTCGGAGGTGTTTTACAGAAAATACCTCCCAATTCCAAGATAAGACTTCAGGACATCCCCGATCAGGAGGAATAGCTGCAACAGAGCTACTCCCCAAGCCCTGTTCTTGAACATGCAGCTGATCAACTACTGCTTGCCCTCCAACTTCTCGAGGAGCTTCTGGGCGTCGCGCTCTAGTGCCCCTGTCGGGGCTGCGCCGTGCTTCCTCACGCCCTTGATCCCGTTGAAGAAGGCAATGAGGGCGGCCTCGAGATACTGATGAGAGTGGTCCACCGCGAACGTCACGCGATGCACCGACTGCTTGTTCTCCTGCTTGCGAGTGGGCCTCACTCGGCATGCCCTGACGCTGGTCGCAACCGTGTCGATGTCGTTCTTGAGAATGAAGTTGGTCCAGTACTCGCCGAGTGGGCCCTTGCTTTGGCCTGGACAATCGTCGCATTGCCCGATGGCCCTGATCATGGCGACCCACACCTGCACGAACGGCGGGCCCATCGGAGCCTCGTTCTGGTCGGCCTTGCGGCGCTTCGCCTCCTCGTGGTAGGCCTTCCCTGCCGCGAGCGCGGCCACGATCACGGGATGATCGGATGCCACCAGATAGGTGACGAATAAAACTCCGCACAATTCTCGAAGTTCTGCTGCGTTGCTGAGCGAGAGACGTGCGAGGATCGCGACCAGGGCCTAGAGGGTCCCGCCCTTGTCCTTGCCCTGTCTGCGCCTGCTCGTGGAGGCGCGCGATCTTTTTTTTCCTCTCGCCCTCGGTGGTGGTGCCAGCCGACGCCGCAGCCGCGGGCAACATCCAAGACGGAGTCACGTCCATCCTCGAGGGCCTCAGCCAGCGGTGGAAGAGGGCACGGCAGAAGATGCGTGCGAAGATGAACCTGAAGTTCGGGCACAGCGCCTGCGGAGAACGGGCACAATGGACAGATCAAGCTCGTCGGCTGTCGGGCCTCGGCAAGATTACGAGTGCGATCGCGCAAACAATGACCACGAACTAAACTTCGAGCAAGATGACGTCGGGCGCTCCCGAGATGTGCGAAAGTGGCGAAGCATACACAGCATTGATTAGTAATGGTAACAACATGCGCCAGGGACCGATCACCATGATGATTGATGATACTTGTTATGTGAAGCCCGTCGATCGGGGAGAGACTGTCCACATCTCGTACCATCCGCACTCGGAAACATACGGGTAAATTCGGAAGCACGCGCCACGCTACTGCCTTGCTCACCATGCACAACAGAAGAGACGCCTGGAGGTGGGATACGGTAGGTTTGCGTCGTGTCGACCAGCGGCGACCCCAGCGCGGACGTTCAAGGTTGAACGCCGCCGGCGACCCAGAATCGATCGATGTTGAACGATCGGACGTTGCGGCAGCGGCCGATCGTTCAAGGTTGAACGATCCCTGCGGTGTCAAAAACCAACGCTGGGGTCGGCACGACACGAACCTGTCGTACGCACCGCGGGGGCCGACGAGCGAAGTTGACGAACGTCGATCTCGACGGGCTCGGTGGAAAACCCGGGATCGGCAACCGACAGGAAATATCGTTGATCCAGCCAGGAGAGGAGAGAGGCGCTCCATCTTCGAGGTCGGACAGGCTCTCGACATCAGAAAACCAGACGACTAGTCCACGAAGAAATATCACTAGACAGCCGTCCATGGGGGAGCACGACAGGAGAACGAGCAAGAACACTGCCACCGAACTGGCCGAACAGACTAGCTAGGCCTGGACGATGGGCACCAGGAACACGAGAAAGACTCTGCCACAGACGAAGCCGACGAACCCGTAGTGCAAGTTCAATCGGGACCAACCTCCACCACCTTAAGACCGCCTCAGAGGAGAGAGAGAGAGAGAGAGAGGTAGGATGATGGCCTTCAGCCCATGTAGTAGCTTGACCTAGCATAGCCTTGCGAGCATAGATGGTGACAATAGTTTGAAGCCGATGCAGTTGCTTAGGACTAGGGAGAAAAGCATCCAACCCCGATAACGCCGCAATATAGATCTTAGAAATCAGAAGACACCGACGCAGCCGATGAGGAACACCGCGAAGAGTCCAGAAACCGCCCATAGAATACCACGCCTGCCGAATCGAACTGATCCTGGAACGAAGCTCAACCTCGAAGTTCAGCGGGTTACTGCACATCCAGGCCCCCAGACTCTTGGCTCCCAAAACCGCCTTCCCAGGAAACACGATGCGCCCCGACTTGACACCTCGGAGGAATTGAGCGGCACCCTCCCCCGAGACATGTGGAAGAGTATCTTGCTTCGTCAGGTTCTGAGCGAAGCCCGCGTCAGACAGGAACGAGTCGAGGGAGACATTGGCACGCCGACTAAGTTCGACAAGACCGTGAATCGCCTCAGCC